TCTATTAAAATGCTCAGTTTTCTTTCTCCTCTGGAACACACTGGGTATTCTCGAGCTGTGTCTTCAATTTGCAAATCCTAGGACCTTTGAATAAAACGTTGTCATTTTTATAAAAAAAAAAAAAAAAAAAAAAAAAAAGATTATTGGACTTCAAACTGTAGGCCTGGGTATGAATTCTGATTCAAACACTTACCTCACTTACCTGCTGTGTGACCTTGAGAAGTCACTTGACCTCTCTGGGCATCAGTGTTCTCAGAAATAAAATTGAAATAACACCCTCACCTCCAATAACTAATTTGCAGATTAAACGTGAGAGTGCCAGGCATATAATAGGAAGTCAAAGCCTTTTTTCCTTTCTTTTTTCTGGGTATGAATTCTGATTCAAACACTTACCTCACTTACCTGCTGTGTGACCTTGAGAAGTCACTTGACCTCTCTGGGCATCAGTGTTCTCAGAAATAAAATTGAAATAACACCCTCACCTCCAATAACTAATTTGCAGATTAAACGTGAGAGTGCCAGGCATATAATAGGAAGTCAAAGCCTTTTTTCCTTTCTTTTTTTTTAGTTTTTTTTTTTTAACTCTATGCTATAAGTCGGGGAACCTGAGGCCTAGCACTGGTCCTATCAAAAAACTTTCTGGCCCTTGATCAAGGCATTTTTTTTTCTTTCTAGGCTTTATTTCTCATCTCTAGTAATAAAAATTTACTGGAGGCTTACATGCTAAGAACTATGAAAAATGTTTTATCCTCCTTCCCCCCTGCCTTCTTCCCTTGCTTCTTCCCTCCCTTCTTCCCTTTTTTCCTTCTTTTCTTTCTAACACATATATATCCAGCACCTAATTGTGCTAGGCACTGTTCTAGACACCAGGATGTGGCAATAAACAGAATAGACAGAATTCTATGACTTTGCACTTATATTCTATCAGGGGAGTCAGGAAATAAAATAAGTAATGTATATAGTATGTTAGATATTAAGTGTTATAGAGGAGAATAAAGCATGGAAAGGGATAGGGCCAATATCTCTTTTGAGATTTCCTCTTTGTTCACTCATTAAGAGTGATTTTAAACAGGGATTCCAAGTAAGGCTAAGGCTTCATGAGAGGGTGACATTCGGCACAGGTGTGAAGGGGGTGAGGGAGTGAGCATCTACATCTGAGGAGGGGCAGGGAGAAGAGCAAGAGCAAAGGCCCAGAGGTGGGAGTGTGCCTGTTGGGTGCTGGGACCAGCTGGGAGCAGGGGTAGGGAGGGGAGAAGAGCTGCACCTGGAGCACAGGCTCAGAGACCATGTGGAGCCTGGTCAGGGACTGGTTTTTCTCTGAGATGGGAAACCAGTGAATGGGAAGGTTTGTTTGGTTGGTTGGTTTTTACTCCAACTAGGTTTTTATTTTACAAAACTTTTATCTTTATATTTCTCAGAAAGCATTCTTGTCTCTCTCCCAGGAAGCTCCGACTGTAAACCTTTCCCTCGATTCTACCCCTCGTTCGGACACTCTCCTCCCCTCTCATCCCTCCACGTTCACCTTTCCATTTGTGCGTTCTGAGCAGAGAAGTGATGAGATTGCTTCTCACATTTTAAAAGAATCACTCTATTATGCCACTCAACCCTCCCAACCATTCTATGATGTGGGTGTTGTAATCCCTGATAAGTCTTTCTTTCTTTTTTTTTTCTTTCCACATAAGGAAAGGTTAAGAGAGGCCAAAATAAAGCTGGCAATTTCTCCCAAGCCACAGGGCCCAATTTCTGCAGTGGTGCTCATTCATTGGAATAGCTCTGTTCTTAGGGCCACGCAACACATCGTTCATTATTGTCTGTGACATTTCTTCAGAAACATGGCAATGAATCTCCAAGTTTCCCAATTCTGCTCTTTCTTTAAGATCCAGTGCTAAAGTTCCCTCCTGTAAGAAGCCTTTCCTGATCCCTCTAGTAGCTTGAACTCCCATATTATTTAATATAAATATCCATTGTGCAATTTGCTACTAGTAAGAAGAAAGTGCTGTATATTAGTGGAAAGTATCCTGGTATCAGATCAAAACATTATTTCATGGCCTGTGAAGATCTAATATCTTTCTTAAGGTTCTAAAAATCTTCGAGGGGGCTGAGGTTTTCATAATCATCTGTGCTTTAGGTTTCCATGTTAGTGTACGCTCTCTCTATTCTGCAATGTCTAGACCTAGGCATGAAACTCAAGCTCTTTTTTTCTTTTATAAGTCTCATTTTTTTATTTCCTAACAGACTTCTTAGTTGTAAATTATTGAATATCATTTTGAAAATAAGTTTACCAGCTGATTTTATAAAATGTGTTCATTCATTTTTTGGATCAGTTCAATGGAGATACCTAATATGAAACTACAGAGTGAGAAATGCACTACATTCATTTTTCAGCTGAAAAATCATACCATCTCTTTCTGAGAGCATTTAGGACCTCAGTGTATATTGCATTGTCAAGCTTTTTCTTTCTTTCTTTTTTTAATTTATTTTTTTCGGCGAGGCAACCCTTGGTTGATCTCACAGATTGCAAGGACCGTGTCAGTTTACAATTCCTTATTTTTTATTTTTTATGCCTACAGCACCTGGTCTTCCTAGGTGGTCTCCCATTCCAAGTACTAACCAGGCCCGACCCTGCTTAGCTTCCGAGATCAGACAGGATCGGGTTTGTTCAGGGTGGCATGGCCATAGACAAGCTCTTTCTTGATGTCCTTAAAAGAAACTCACTTGCACAAAGCTTTCATAAATGTAGATTTTGCTAAAGTCTTGGCTATCACTCAATGCAATAACACAGCACAAACAGCAAACAACTTTATATCAATATAATCACACCCACCACCTTTCTTATTTTTATGTTTTGTTTAGTGTATTAGTCTGCTCAGGCTGCCTTAACAAAATACCACAGACTGTGGGTGCTTGCTTATACAACAGAAATTTATTTTCTCACAGGTCTGAAGCCTGGAAGTTCAAGATTAAGGTGCCATCAGGTTGGTTTCTGATGAGGTCTCTCTTCTTAGCTTGTAGACAGCTGTCTTTTGCTGTGTCTTCACAGCTGTCACTTCATGCAGATGTGGAGAAAGAAAGAGAGAGAAAGAGAAATTTCTGGTGTCTCTTTCTCTTATACGGACGTGGGTCCTAATGAATTAGGGTGCTACCCCAAAGATTTCATTTAGCCTTAATTACCTCCCTTAAGGCACTATCTCCAAATATAGTCACATTGGGCATTAAGGCTTCAACATATGTTATCTGGTGATGGAAACACAATTTCAGTCCATAACACATCATATGTCTTTTTCTATCTGTCCTTAAACTTTCAACATATTTATGTTTTGAAACTTAAAGTGCATTTCTTGTAGATAGAATTGTCTTGAATCTTGCTTTTTGATCTAGTTTGTCATTCTGTTATTTTAGTTGGGGAATTTTAGTCCCTTTATGTTTAATAAGATTATCAATATGTTTGGGTTGAAGTCTACTGTCTTGCTACTTGTTTTTATTTGTTTTGTTGTTGTTGTTGTTCCTCTAATGATCCTTTTGTTTACTAATTACATATATTATTGGAATTCCATTTTATTTCCTCTATTTTGGCTTCTCGTCAATACTTTTATTACTTTTTAGTGTTGCTCTAGAGCTAACAACATGTATCTTTAACTTATCAAAATAAATCTATTTATATTCGATGTTATACTACCTCTCCCTGTACACCTGATTCTTCACACTATTTTTTTTCGTTTCTCACTTCACACATGACAGTTATTTCCCATTTCACAAATGGAATAACATTATATTTCTGGTTACCCACATTTTGTTCTTTGTACTTTGTTGTCATATATTTTATTTCTAAATAAGTTATGATGTTATTATTATTGTTGCTCTAACAGGTTCGTTGTCTTTTAAGAGAATTCTGAGAAAAAGTAATCTTTTATGTTTAAATTCTCTTTTAAAAACATTTTCAGGGATGCTGTTTATTTCTGCCTGTAAATCTGAGTCTCCATCTTATGTCAATGGCCTTCAGCCTAAAGAGCAACCTTCAGCATTTCTCTTAGTGTAGGTCTACTGACATCAAATTCTCTTAGCTTGCATTTATCAAAAATGTCTTTATTTCATCCTAGCTTTCGAAGAATATTGTTGATGAATATAGAATTTTGAGTGGACAGTTTTTTTTTCCTTTCATGACTTTCAAATGTTCCATTGTCTTCTTGCCTCCATTGTTTCTGATGAGAAGTTAGCAATAATTGTTTCCCTATATAGCGTCTTGTTTTTTGATTGCTATTGAGATCCTTTTTTTCTTTTGTTTTCATAGTTTGACCTTAATATACCTTGGTGTGGTTTTCTTTGTGTTTGTCCTACTTGGTGTTTACTGAGTTTTTTAAATGTATAAATTTATGCCTTTAATAAATATGGAAAAGTTTCAGCCATTTTTGTTTTCAAATATTTTCCTTCTCCATTTTCACTCTCTTCTTCTGGTACTCCTATTATATGTATTTTGACCATTTGATATTGTTCTGAAGATCCCTGAGCTTTTGTTCATTTTTCTTCAATCATTTCCTTTTCTTTCCTCAGATAGGATAATTTCTGTTGATTTGTCTTCAAGTTTGTTATGCTTCTGTCTCCACAACGTTTTGTTAAGTCTATCAATCTAGTCCATTTTTAAATTTTAGTTATTATGTATTTTAGTTCTAGCTTTTATATGGTTTTAATACCTCTTTTGAATTTCCTATTTGTTCGCTCATTAAGAGCATCTACCTTTAATTCTTTGAAAATATTTAAAATTATTACTTTAACGTAATTGCTAAATCCAACAGCTGAATTACTTGGAATTGTTTTCTTGACTATGGGTCACATTTTTCTATTCTTTGCATGCTAATAATTTTTGATGGTATACTGGACATTGTTGACAATATATTGTTGAGATCTTGAATTCTGTTATCTTCCTCTGAAAAAGTGTGATTTTTGTTCTAGTACACAATAAGGAGTTCTATTACTGGTTCATTGCCTTGAATGTTTGCATTCTTATTTTTTCTGCTTTAATATGGAGGCTCTGTGGAAAGCTCAATGTCTTTCTTGAGCTCCTCTAACTTGATGAGGCCAACACATGAATCTGTGTCTCTTGTGGATATTGTGGGGGCTTGGCTTTAGGCTTTTTTTATGGTGGAACTAAAGTTGTGCTATCAAATATGCTAGCCACATGTAGCTATTTAAATTTAAATTTATATAAAATAAAATAAATTTAAAAATCATTTCCTTAGTTGTACTAGCCATATTTTGAGTGCTTGATAGCTACATGTAGCTAGTGATTATCATTTTGGACAGCACAAATAACATTAATATCATTGCAGAAAGCTCTACTGGTCAGTAGTTACTAAGACTATGCCTTACGTTAGGATGTGGTCCTCATTCTTATGTTATTCTCCTTTTGGTGTCTCAGCTGGAGGCCTGAGTATGAACAATTTCTACTTTATGGCTGAACTGAATCTTTTCTGTTCTCTAGCACTGCTTAACTTGTAGTATCTTTGTTCTATTCTCTACCTTGTTATAGCTGCTCTCTGGCAAGCCTGTGTACTTTCTCCATGAGCATATACATAGCTTAGCTTTCAGCCAATGACTCTATAAGACACAAACTTCTAGGGACTCCTGTCTGTGCAGTTTACTCCTCCCTCTGCCTTCCCTCACAATTCTAGACATTTCAGCTGTTCTGATCTCTGAGTTCTCCTTCCTCAGCTCATCAGAATCATATGTTGTGCATGGATTCAAGCTCAGTACTCTGCAGTGGGGGAAATTATTCCCAGAAAGAGAGCTGGCGGCAATTGTGGGGCTCCCGTTGTGAACGACCCTTCTGTCAGGGATCCCAGTCTTGTGCTGCCTATTATCCAATGCCAGAAAACTTTTGCTTTCCATATTTTGTCCAGTTTTGTTTTTGTTTGTCTAATGGTGGCAGACATATTTCACACGAGTGATTGCATTGTATCCTGAAGTAGAACCCCAATAATTAGCAAGCAACATAAAAATAAAAAATTACCTATCCTGTTTTTTAAAAGTTCCTTTGCTACTGAATTTTTCTCAACACCTGGCATCGCATTGTCTTGATGGTTTCTCTTCCTTTGTTCCTATTATTTTTTTCCCATTTAAATTCTATGGGAAACTCCAAATTCTTTCCTTGTATCATGCAGAGAATTCAGCTCTCCACAGCTCCTGTCTTCAAAAGTATATAACCAAAGTTATAGAAATTCTTAGCAGAAAAAAAGCCCTCCTCCCATTTAGCAGGATCTGCCCTCTTTAGAAGATGATTGTAGTTATAGAAAGCAAAACAATTTTTTCTGTTCTAATTTTTACTGTTATTGTATTATTAGCAAACTCATCCCCATGCTTTTCTTCCTGACCTCCCTCAAATCTATTCTCTACCCATTGATCATAATAATATATTTCTAAAGCACAAATATGACTATGTCACTCTTCAGTTGCTTCCCCTAGCATGTAAGATAGGATCTCATATCCTCAATTGACATAAAAGTCCTTCTACCAACTGTTCCTTTCTATGTCTCCAGCTTTATCTTCTGTTATTTTGCACACACCCCTAACACACACATACACACACACTCACACACACGCTACAGGTATAGCTCCTGCAAAACTGGAGTCTTTGTGGGTCTCAAAACACACCAAGCTATTTCTTTCTTCTATTTCTTTTCTCAGACTGTTTTCTCCCCTCCCTCCAACTTTTCCATCTTTATGTGGCTATCCCAACTCATTCTTTAAGACTGAGCTTTGAAAGGTTTTCCTTCTGAAAGGATTCTGTGGTTCTGACCTTCCACAGTTGGATCAGATACCTCTTCAGGGCTCTTACTGAGCTCCCTGCTGCCTACCTCCCCACACAGACAAAGAGAGTAGGACACTGTCTGTTTTGTTTGGTTTCACCTGTGCTTAGTGGAGTACCTGGCACAAAGTATGTGTTAATTTGTGCATTCATTTATCCACTCAATAAATGTTTATTGAGTATATAGTATGTGTAGGGTACATTGTTTCAAAATCTCTGCCCCATGGGAGTTTGTATTCTGGTGAGAAAGGCAGAAAACAAACAAATAGATATAATATAATTTAGGAAGTGATAAGTCTATGGAGAAAAATAAAGCAAAGTAAGGACAAAGTAAGCAATAGGGTGCTGTTTTGGATAGAGTGCCTCTCTAATCAGGTGACATTCAAGCAGAAACCTGAATAAAG